GTGTGTGTGTGTGTGCACATGTGTTTGTATGGGATTCGCTTGAATAATGTGTTTGTATATAAGACCAACTATGACATGGTGTGCGTATTATGTATCTGTGTCAATCTTCTCTACAAGGGTGTAACACTTGTCTTTTATTAAAGATTTCTTGTAAACATTATTTTGCCATTTTTCTGACAACAATACCGCCTTTTGAATTGGGAAAGGGTTTGTTCCTTCTTGTTGGCAGTCATAATGCTAATTTTCTCTCATGACTCATTTCTTAGACAACGTGTGAAGGAAAACAATGATTTGCATTCCTTCTAACCAGTTCCTTTTAGAATAATGCTTGCTAAAATTAAAACAACTAAAACTTTTTGTCTGTTTTTTAAGGAGAAACAGCCACCATAAATGCATGAATGGATGTACCTTGAAAATAAGCCACAAATGGTGCATTAAGCTACTACTTTTCCATCCATTTGACCCACATTCACGCCAGGCATAAATTTGCCACTCATTTTGAAATGAGCAGAAAAATCAGTGATTTGTCATTTCTGGTTCATTAGATGCACTCTGGTATATTCTGCTCTTCACTCCAGGAAAACATATTACTGGTGGCTTGGTGTGACTCCAGCTGAAGTATTTTGGCAGCCAGTGGAGAAGAAGTCCAGTTTTATGCCTCCTTGTAGAAACACAAAACAGACCACCCACCCATTGAACTTCCATTTGCACTCACGTACTTGGTGTCAGGCAAGGCAGGCAGACACACACACACACAAATAAAGACAGTAATGTGGTGATAGTTAAATGTTATTGGACATTAGGGGAAAGGTGGCATTAATTGTATACCTAATTTACTTCTCTTGAACTTTGTTCTTTTTGTCTCCAGCTTCTTGAATCAGGCAGTATGGACATGAGATAAATCAGTCAACTCATAATTCATGCTGTAGATAAGAACTCGTTACAGGAGGAGAACACACATACACACACACATATCTCTTGATGTTATTCTGGGTTTGACTGCACTGGGACTTCAGAAGCTGATTTCCTCATATAACCTTCAAAGGTCTGCAGGGAAACTCAACATTATAGTAGTTCGGAACAGCAATTTACATACACAAGTAACTTAACTACGTAATAGTAGTCAATCAATCGCATATGTAGTTTTAATATTTTTTATCATTATAATAGATCACAGTATATTCCATAAACCAACATTTCATTGCAAGGTCCTGTCATTGAATGCATTATTCTTACAGGAATAGTTCAACATTTTGGAAAATATTCTTATTTTCTTTCTTGCTGAAAGTTAAATTAGAAGATTGATTCGACTCTCATGTCTTTATAAATTTGAAGCTAGAGCCACCAGCCAGCAGGCTTAGCTTAGCACAACAAACTGGAAACAGCTAGCCTGGCTCTGTCTAAAGGTCATAGATATGAGAGTAGTATCAGTCTTCTCATCTAACTCTCGGCATGTTCATGTAAATATTTTCCAAAATGTCAAACTTTTCTCTTAACCCTAAATCAAACCACATTGCATCCTAAACCTATTCTCAACCTCAGTATTGCACTAAAGTTGGGGACTCACAGGAGATAGATTTTTTTTTTAAATGGTGAAACTGAAGCAGCATGGCACAATACGCTGACTTTTACTTCCTAGTGTGGGTAAAGCTCTAAAAACATTGGATACTACAATTCCTAAAATGCAATCAACAGCATATTTTCTTTAAACCCAAACTGCCTGGTATGAACCCACATCTTTCACTCCATGCTGAAAGTTTTTGACACAGTCTCAAAATCCAAGCAAAAATAGCCCTGAAGACATCATTAGGGGTCATTTTCTCAGACTTCACAAAGTTCCTCCAGAGCCACAGATGACATTATGTAAGTGTTTTCAGAAGTGCAGTTAAACAAGACCACACACACAACACAAACAAAATAAAAAATACACATATATTCTTCACATCAAGGGGGGGCTGGTGGACTAAAAAGGCTTGTGGCTTAATGAGCTCCCAAAGCTGCCAACCAAAGGATCAGAGGATGAGGAGGGAGTCAGCAGCAGCATCTCTTAATGTCATCTGGTGAAAGAGAGGCCCAACTGTTGATAACACTGCTAGGAGGTCACATGTTTGATCCCCACTGCAGGACATGTGACCTTTCAAAATGTCCATGAGGAACAGAGAACTACTGGCTCATTCACTACAACTGCCAGAAGGTGGTAAAATGTAAAAATAGTACAGTTAGTCAAACTGAAAAAAAAAGATAATAGGAAATTATTAACCAGGATTTAGCAGTGTGACTGATATGCAGTGACATTTTACCCACAATTAAGTTTCATTAAACCAATTTGCATGAAAACAAATAAAAGAATAGTTAAGATCTTCCCTTGTTTTCCCTTTTCTGATTCTGTGTCTCCATGCACTCTGTTCTGCACTGCATTTAAGCAGAAAACATAGACCTCTAGTGGTGAAACAACTCCTCACAGATAAACACCTCACTCTCTCAGCGCTCTCAAGCTGACAGATGTCGGTCACAAAAACCAGTGTGACTAATTGTTGCTCATATCAAAATCAAAGGGATTTTATTTGGTTACAGCTGTTTTTTCTCAGTCTAAATGACTCTTCAAATGGAACAAAGACAGCACTTCAAATGGGATCTATTTACATAGGCCTGGTGATCACAGATAGCAATCTGAGTAAAAGAATGAATCAACGTGTCCACACAAAGAGCTGTTTGTCCCAAATGACCACAGGGTTTCTTGGGAAACACTGAACAAATAAAGTGTCCTCTAGTGTTTGAAAAGGCTATACATAGATGAAATATCAAAGCCCCCCCATCCACAGTTTCCTCTGGAATGAATCCTTGGGTCACTGTTCCACTCTTTGAAGAACAAACAGTTTGCCCTTGGGTCTGATATGAAGGAATATGTGCTTCCATCTCTGCCTTGTTCCCTGGAGACAGGACCGTCCCAAAAAAGAGTCAAAGGGCATTTACAAACCACAGAAAAAGACAAATAAACACAATGTCAACAGTGAGCCACCACCTCTACCCCGAAACATATACTCACTCATGTACATGCACAGTTACAATGACCCTCGTGTTTTTGTTAGTTTTTTCACAATTTCAACACATGCATGTCAGGTCAGGTGCATGACCTGCAAACATTGAAAAACTAACTGTCGGTTGCGCAGCAGGCATTTTGACTTGCCAAAGCTAGTAAAACTTGGACTGGACATAAAGACGGTTCAGTTCCATTAAGTGTCCCAAGCAATAGTGACAGTGAACCAGCATGCACAATGGCAGGACCTCCCCTAAATGGAATGCAGTTATCATTAATACACCTGTGAGTTTCCTGCTGTGACATGACAGGGAAACATTCTCCAAAATGATCACTGAATAAGTCACTACATTAACTACCTCACATAGCGCTGTCAGCATCACACACTAATCGACACATATCAAAAGGAAACAAATGCTAACAGCTAATAAAAAATAAAACAAATGCTAGCAGCTAACTGTTAGTTGAATTAGGAAAATATGGATGGATTTATTTTCAGACATCTTTGGACAGTAGAAATGCTTGATAAGAATTTTTTTTAATCAAGATTGCGGTGCTTTACAAACGTCAATGGTAAATATATTTTTAATAAAAGGGTCGATTTGGAAACTGCTGACTTTCAAGTTTTTCTGTGGCCTTGGGTGTTACATGCTCTCTCTCACTCTGGTCTTTTAAGTAGATATTTGATCTGCTGCTGATGTGTTTTGTTGTTGTCTGGGTAGACTAATAGGACCACTCAGTGATGTGTTATTTTCATTTTGAACTTAATGAGTTCTGTAATGATCTATGTGTACGTGTTTGTGAAATAGAAATGCTCTGGCGCCACCTATGGTTTATGGTCATGAAATGATACTACATTTGGGGGCAGTGACATGATGAAACAGGAAAAGGCCTTTCTCACCTAACTGTTACCACAAAACTGGAAGCACACAATTGTCCAAAGCAGTGGTTCTAAACCTTGGGATCCACATTTTCCCATGTTCATTCAAGTCTCAACCCACTTTTATGGAACCAAGCAAATGTATTATATGTATATGTATATCAAATAAGCCAGTAAACAAATATATTATATCATTAATAATAATATATCATGTCCTTTTTTAACATGAAGTATACACATATTTCCATCCCTGCATTCAGTGAGGGTGCTGTAAGATCCAAATGCCTCGCATACTTCTACAAACATTAACATACACTGCTAACACTGGCATTACACACACGGAAAGGTCATATGGCAAGTACACACTCATATACAATGTCATCTTTTTTTTCATGCATCAGAGCACATTGCTCTAATAATGATCATCACAACTGTATGCTGCTGGTTCTTATAAATATACATAAGATCAGAAAATAAGGAAGGCATACAAAATGGACTTCTTTCACTGTGTTTTTAATATAATTTCTCTCAGGAGTCGAAGCTGTCAAATCAAAACTGAAAATTATTTTCTCCATGGAGAGAATAGTGTTGTTGTTTTTTTTTTTCCCATGTTGGCATTTTGTCAAGGGAACAACCAACAGAAGAGATACTGTATGTATAACACAGATGTGTGTAATTACAGCTACTACACACAAGATGTCAGTAGTGTCTTATATTTTGACAGCCTGAGCTATAGACAGAAAAGATCAGAGAAGAGAAATTGACAGTAAATACAGTCAAATAAATCTATGTGGAAAATGCTTAAAAAACATATCCTCAGAATCCCCCCTCAGTTGATCTATTTGGGGATTTTCACTGCTTTTAATGATTACAAGAGATTCCTTGGAGGTGTCCTTTAGTGTTCTCAATAGACTGAGTATCTGTTAGGTCTGCTCTTGGCAGTGCTCCTGTTCTTGGACTGCTGAGGCAGGCAGAGGACAGGAAGTACAGTCTTCCCTACAGAAGGTGGCAAACATCCCATCCTGCAATGCACAGGGTGCAGTGATGGGGCAGAAATAATTCCGTGATCTTAAAGCATCTTCACTTTGTTCGCAAAATGGTACATTATTCAAGTATGATTCATATTTTAAGATAACGATGATAAAGTACATTTTTATTTATTTATTAGTATAAAGTCATAAATATATCCTTAACTGAATAGTATATTCCATATAATTAGCAGCTTTCAGAGGGAAGAGAAAATACTAGGAACACTTTACACTGCAATCCAACACGACATTTGTGCAAAACAGTAATACAATTTTTAAGCTTGTGGTGTTGGAAAAATGTTGTTGTTTTGGACTATATGTACCAGTAAATGTATAAAGTGTTCCTGTTATTTTGTCCACCCCCTATATAAGCCTGTAAATACTGTTCATCATGCTGACCACTTTTGTAAATGTTTCATTTTGTTTGTTCCACTGCATCCACTGTGAACACTTAAAGACTGTCCTGTCAGTGTCGTTAAACTAACAAAGTTGCCTACAATTAACCTTTCATTGTGCATTCTGCAGAGCTGAAGTTAATATAGTGTGTTGGGTATATAGTGTACTAGTTTCCTGGTCTTCACTCACTGAAACTTTCCTTAAGACAGAGAGAGAGAGAACAAGTTGGAGCTAAGAGGGAGTGCATTAAAAGGAGAAAAGCCCTGGAGGAAAGTGCAGCCAAATGCTGCAAAATCTACAGGTAAGTAAACAATAAAAATACATGCTAGCATGGTAACCCTCAGCACGTCATATATCCTCGATTCTATGTTTTAAAAAACAAATAAATGACATCAACACTTAATACAGTTATATAGGAAAGCAGGATATTTATGTTTGTGGAAATTACCTCTGTGCTCCTTTCTGTCTGGTGGAAGTACCTCCAGTTGCTCTGAGCTACCTAACGATCAACAGAGGTCCAGTCAGAGCTCTGAGGAAATTCCTGGTGCGATACAAGCACTCCAAAAGTGTACAGCAATTATATTTATGAATAGCTATTCCTGTATACCCTTACTTATGGAAGTGCAGTCTTAAAACTAAAGACACATTGCTGTCTTTAATTATTTTGGATGTTTTTTTCATGTGTAGTGATAAAACTAAAATAAATTTTACTGTATAAACAGCTTTTTTTTCAAAACAAACAGCTACAATGCACATGGTTTAAAGTATGGAGATTGGCCTGGACTTATTATCCCAGTCCAGCCCTGTCCATGGCTCAGCCACACAGGTGTTTTCCCTTATGTTTCTTGATTAGACCTCTTCTCAGGACTGTGTGGGTGCATACAAACTGAGCCTAATGTGACTTTTTTACCTTTCTGCAGGCTTTGTTGCACCTTCAAACTGACTCTAATCAGCCAGAGTGATTGCAAACGCCTGTGTGGGTGTGACAGGCCTTTTATATTGTATAGGCCTTTTTTATGGTGAAAAAAGCACAGGTGAAAGGTGCCTTTCCTTCCATGACAAGTCACAAACCATTACACAGTCAGATCATTGTTGATACTGACAGGGTGAAAGCTAACACAACTCCACTCCTATATACTGTCTGGGGGGAAAAGAAGAGCTTACTCTGCTACTTAAGGGAAAGGTTTTAAAGTGAGGAGTTAATCTCAGTTTACTGTTGACAAAAAAGTGTGTGGTGAGAAGTGAAATGACTCCTCTGAGAGAGGAACTGTCCAATCACTGCAGGGTGCATTTTAATCTCTGACATAAGGCTTTGATAAACCAGAGGATTTACCGTGATATGCCACGTCATCCAAATCATACGCCCTAATGCTACAAATGACATGCTTGTTGAATCCAGACAGTCTGCTGTGAAGGATATGAAATGTGTTGTTAATACTGTAGACCAGAAGATTTTTTATGATGACATCTGATTTTGACTCATATTTAACACTTAAAAACTATTTGAAAACATTTCTATTATAGTGCCGTATCTTAAGTTAAGTCAAACTAATTACTCTCCTTTTGCACAAGTCTAATAAAAAAAAAAAAAACTGGGAAAGAAATTAAACCACTTCATTTTGTTAGGAGCCCCACTATGGGAACTGAATAGGCCACTGGAAACTGAACCTATAACACCTGAATCATCCATTAGAGACGTAAGCCTGCAACTAATTTACAATACAATGAGTTTATGAAAGATGGTCATAAACCCGACCTAATATATCTCTCCCTTTGTTGATGTGTCTATTTGTTTGCCGTTTTAATAGCGGTTGCTATTGACTGGGCAGTGGAAGATCTACAACCATGACGCACGTTGTGTGTGACGCACGAAATGGGCGGATTTTCTGCTCAAACGCTGCGAAAAGTATTGAACTCAGCATTTTGTTTACCCTCCTGTACACAGAGCAATGTGATGGACCCAGAATTAAGCATATGATATAACATGAACGTTTTCTTTCTCGCAGTCTCACTTGTGTCTCAGGATTTTCCTGCAAAAACAGACTTTGAATCATGTTGAAAATGCTCACTAGTATTAATAAACTAATGTCTACTTAATTTTAGAAAACATTCTTAATTAATATGACATCCTTTGACACTAGGGATATGTGGAATTGTATATTATACTTTCGTATATTGTTTGCCCTGATCAACAATGTGAAAATTACATTTTAGGACTCAACACCAGCTGATAGCTGTTGGTCAGATGGACACTTTTTGCAGTGTTTTCCTCTTCCTCCTCCTCCCTCTCCTCCTCTTCCCCTGTAAAGACAGAGGGGGCAGGTCTTATCGTAGTGGGCTCTATTACAGCCTTGGCAGGTGTTTCTGTAGCTCACACGGGGCTTGAAGAGCCTCCCTGCTTATCTGGTTATAATTATAGAGAGGTGACCTGGTTTCAGCACCGCGGCTCGTTAACAGCTCCAGTGCACAGCGGAGATTTTGGCCAGCCCCTCCACGCCCGGTGCGTCTGACAGAGCAGGGTACCCAGGGCGCAGCCTCCGCGGCAGTTTCAGCACCAGCGGCCGGCCGGAGAGAAGCGGAGCTGTCCACACGTTCAGCACTTTTCTTCCGGACGCGGGTGGGAACAGAGAGCAAGGCAGCCAGGATATATCTTCCCCCTGGGCACCCCTGAGACAACGTATTTCAGGATGGCGTCAAAATACGTTGGCCTCTTCGTCCTTTTCCAGTTTCTAGCGCTGAATGTAGTGAGCCAGATATCTGCCTTCCCCACACCGACAGCCTCAGCGGATGGTGAGCTTGCCATCGCATAACCGTGCGATAAAGATTTTTAGTAGTAGTCTTGTTCTGTAAAGTATTTGTTCAAGAATACTGTAGAAATGTCAGAGAAAACTGTTTCTGGAGGCTGACAGTGATTAAGAAAAAGATTGTAGAGACGCCACAAAGTGCAATACGGTCTTAAAACTCTCCTTTCACCACACACATGGTGTCAGCAATTTAGAAATAGAAAAAACTGGTTATTCAACTCATTATTGGTCATGTAATCCTTAAAATATTTTTAAAATATGGGAATATGTGCAGAGATTTAAACTAAATGTGACCATTACACGTTGTAGTACACCTTGTACAGCCCACGCATGGGCAGTTAAAGAGATATTACTGGCATTTATTTGCAATTTCTGTTCATATTTGTAGATGTTTTATATTGTTTTGTATAATGTTTCAACAGCAAATTTAAATCCAACTATAAACCTGTTGACTAACGAAATATAGCACACACAAAAAATCAGTGCCTTTAAAGTTGTGCTCCAGCTCAGCGGTGACTGGCGGGGTTTTTAACGGCGCCTGGTCGCATGTTATGGCCGCTTGTGGGCTATTTTCGCCGCAGTTTAATCTTTTGTTTGATAATCCGATTAAGCTCTGCCTCTGCTGTGGTGAGTTGGGAGAGCAGAAGGGATCGCAGTCTGAAGGTTGAAAATGTATCAGAATGACATGAAAAACAATAAGTTAAGAAATTGTCACCCTTTTTATTAGAAGTATATAATATTATATACATGTTTGTGAAAATGCCTTTTTATGTGCGATTTACATTTGAAACCTACAAAATCTGGTTCTTCTCATTAATAATAAAGTCTGCTTTGAGCAATTAGTCTATTAATTAAATGTGCTTTTTTTTCTGTTGCAGATAAAACTGTGTACAATAGACAGTTGACAGAAGAAAGACCAGTACAAGAGCAGGTAAGCCACACTTTCTCCATGTCTCATAGTTAATTTTCCTCATCCAATATCCGGCCAAATGAGCTTTATGGTCACTGTCAAACAACCTAGGAATTAGATCAACAAACATTATTAATCAAAGCTTATGTCGTGAGTGGAAATTATTCGTTTATTGTTCATTTATTGTTTCCCCAGATTGCTGAGGCGGACAGTGTGAAAGCTGCAGTACAGTCAGCTGGTAAGAGGAAACCTTATTGCCAATCAATTAATGACTTTATTTCCGCCTGCTGAGAGGGTTTATATTGCAGCACTTCCAGTAAAACAGGTTTCATCTGTACTCAGTTCGTCTTCACCACTTGTATTTCTCCAGTTTGATAATTTTGCCTCCGCTTTCAGAGAGCAAGCGTCCCACTGCCTCCAAGGACACGGAGTCAGAGCAGGACCTTGATGACTTAACTGTGCTGAAGTCACTGGCTGATGGCCAGAAATCAAAGGAGGCCACTGAGGTGCCGCTCAAGAAGGAGGAGCAGTATGTTCCCGATGAATCAGACTCAACCAAAAGCCGGCGTCTGGCTGAGGACTACGACTCCACCAAGAATGGGATGGACTACGGCAAGTACCAGGGTACGCACATCTGTCACCATGCACATTAACTAATAACTAACAGGTCCTGTCCTGTCCACCTATGGAAAGGTGCAGTTGGTTAACTGTTGGGGTCTGAGTCCTTCTACTTAGGTGACCCCCATCGCCAAGGGCAGACGTCACACTGCGTGCTGTCTGTCACTGGCAGACATTTTAAGAAAGAGTAGGTAAAGAAAACACGTGCATGTGATTGGGATAAGCAAAGACAGGTAGAGAGAGTCAAATACAGAACACGTGCATGCAAGAGAGAAAGATTATCCTCTCCCTCTCAGACGCTGCAGCTGAGAAAGCTATAGCTACTCTACTGGCTTCTTCTTTTATCTCTCCACGGGAGACTTTTAAATACATGGCTTTAATTTTTCTCATAGACACCAACCATCACTGTAATTTCCATTTCATATGGAATAATGAATACACAAATATCCAATATTATCTTAAGATATTACACAGTAAAAAAAATCCTGTCATTTCATTTGGTTGAAATACAGCTCTTCATTTCATATTCTGATCATTTGCTGATATCTACATAGATTTTTAGTCAGGTCAGCACACATTTCACTGTATGTGCACGTAATTTGATATCCAACCATCAGCATAAAGCACAGACTTTGAGGTGAGATGACTCAGACACAAAGAGCTGAGTGCTACACTTCATCGATTCATGCGGTCGGCCTGGCAATGACAAACAGCTCGTCAGGTTACGCTATGTCTAAATTTGGCAAGCACATTCTGGATTTCATTTCTTATTTCCAAGAGTGAGACAGAAATAAGCCCGGTGTTTGAAGATGAAGTACACCACTGATGATTCAACCCGCCAGTACAGGCAAAAGTATTCTGGCGCTGCTTATTTTGATTGTGTGTGGACCTTAGAAAGCAGCAGGGACTGTTATGTAAGAGTCAAGCTGTAACAATTGTACATTTCTTACTCAGTACTGCAGACATAGATATGTTGTAGAAGAGGAAGAATCATTCATTACTGAAAAATCTAATGAGAGAGTGACTTTATTTCTAGGTTCAGCTTAAACATTTCGATGGCACAACAGAAAGACAGAAGAAGTAGAAAACACAAATAGTGTAAAGTGTTGAATAGAGGAGGTTATTTGATTGTAAGAAATGGAGAAAAGTTTTAAAAAACATTCAAGATCTGTCTGTTTCAGTATGTAACTCAAACACCTGCTTTATACCTGCACACAGCCAATACGCATATTTAGAAAGATACAAATTATAACATAAGTGTCTCCTCTCAGATGACCCAGAGAGTTTCCGTCAGGTTGATGGGACTCCGCTGACAGCAGAAGACATCGTCCAGAAGATTGCAAACAAGATATATGAGGAGGACGACAGAGGGGTGTTTGACAGGATTGTCTCCAAACTGCTCAAACTGGGGCTGGTAAGTTGTGAGTTTGTACTCTTATACGAGATGTGTGTGTTCAATTCCACACAGCAAGTAGTATGTCATTTTCTCAACAGGATCTCTGCACTCCCTTCTTCCACACCGGGAGAGGAAGAGATGTGTGAATTGTGCTTTGTTCCATGATATTGGTTGTGAACCACTCCATAAGTAGTAGCTTGGCGGTGTCCAAATTGCTCCCTGAGATGTATCTCTCAGTGACAGTGATCAATATGTGATAGATAAAGGTTTGCAGACGGGGCGTGTTGTTCTGTTCTCTCACGAACATTTGTTATTACACACAGTTGTTCTCAGTCTCTTTCTCTTTGTCTATCTGTAGATCACAGATAGTCAGGCAGATACCCTGGAGTACCAGGTGGCCGAGGCTCTCCAGGATCTCATCACCAAAAACGCCAAAAACAATGAGATTGAGGACATTGAGAGCAACGGCCAAGAAACCAGAGGAGAGCAGGACGACCAGGAATCAGACGCAAACGCGGTAAAACTTGCGAAGAAGTGATAGTAATGATAACAATGATAACAATAAGGATGACAATAATAACAATAAAAATCTTTCCATTTCCAGGACACATGGGAGCCACCCAGGCGCCGCTACAACGAAGACGAAGAGGACGTGGACGAAGATGATGATGAGATTGAGGACGAGGTGGACAGGGATGCAGAAGAAGACGGGGGCGACACAGCTGACAACACCTGGGACAAAGATACTGAGGAGGGCAACGAGGTGAGCCCTGAAGATGGACTCCAGGACCTGCAGTACTTCCCAAACTTCTACCGGCTGCTCAAGAGCCTTGACTCAGGTGAAAACACACAAACAAGCATCAAGGTCACTGTGACATTTTAGATCGTTGCTTCATAGCATCCTTCACCCAAAGATAGACGTTCTTCAGTTCTGAAACAGCGCTAGAGAGCTGTTGTTGTCATGGCATTATTGTTCTCGATGATGAGGCACTGCTTGGTTTGTCTTCCTAGGAAGTGCGGATGAAACACACATACACACACAGCTAATTATTTATAATCCCATTATCATGACCCCGACAGTCAAACTCCATGTGGTAACATTAACACCATAGTAACCAATTACCATTTACAAAACATTGATGCTGGATGGTGGTTTTGAATTTGCCCTCTGGTTTGCTGTTGCAGATCAAGATACTCAGGAAAGAGAGACACTGATTACCATTATGAAGACGCTGATTGACTTTGTGAAGATGATGGTGAAGTACGGCACCATCACGCCAGAGGAGGGAGTGTCCTATCTGGGTAAGACATAACACAATACCAGCACTGTTTATCTGTAGTCCGGTACATTCAGACGATTTGTATAATATAATTATAATCTTTCTGTGGAATCACATCATGATTATAATAATAGTAGTGTGTTTTAGAAAAGATGATGTTGTCTATAGCACTGGTTCTCAAACTATTGTCAAACTATGGTAAGCTGCCTGAAGTGGTATGGAGAGGAATCTGTGAAATACCAAATCTTCCACCAAACTGACTCTGGTTATTGAACCAGTTCCATTCAGGATTCAACAACAGTCAACAATAATTAATCTTCTCATTAGGAATGAACCTCCCTCCTGCGTGAACTGTCTATAGCTGAATAGGATTGGGCTACACTATTATAACCTGTATTTTAACATTGGTCGTAATGGTGGTACCCGGAAAGCCAAATTTTTGAGGTGGTCTGCAGTGTAAAATTTTTGAGAAACTGAAATGTAATTTTCTATCCGCCCATTAGCCCACCAGCGTATGTGCATTTCTATGTCTTTGTGTGTTATATGTGCTTTTTCTGAGTGTGTTTAGCAGAGCTAATGTTCCCTTCCTATCAGCGGGTGCAGTGGAGTGTAAAGCCTGAACAGACATATTAGTGTCAGGGGCACCCTATATAACCAGCCTGGTTTTTATGGGTTGCCATTACATCAGTAGCCGGTGGAAAGGTCGGCCACCTGTAAGGGACAGCTGTCCTCTCTCTGTGTAAGCCTCAGGAAACCCCAGACCCAACATCTTTCTCTCTCTCTGTTCAGATGACATTCAGTCCCAGACAGAAAAAATAGAAGTGATATCATCTTTCATACATTTAGTTGTGCTTTTAAATCAGCTTGGCAGATGTGGTCTTAACTAGGGCCACAAGACATGTCGCCATTAGAGCCAGAGAGGTTTTTTCAGTCCAAAGCGGAAAATATATTCAATTTACAGATGATGTATGTCCCACCAAAAGAGCTGTGATCAAACAGTATAGCTAAGGTTGACCTATATAGGCTGTAAAAGGATTAATCAATAGTCAAATGACCCCTGGCAGCAGCTGGCCATTGTTTTCTCCTACAGAGGAGCAAAGGACTACCACTGATGTTACACACCAGAATAAAACGGGCATATGCTGTTACACAAGATGTGAGTTTCCTAGGCAACCATTCTTACTTTATGTAGTATAGGTTGTGAGACAACCTATACTACTGAGATAAGAGGTCGGAATTCCACCATCCCCTAGCAACATGTTAATGCCACCAAGCATACACACACACACACACACTTCTACCCCTGGCTGTGATGCTCCTATGAGTCATCCAGGTACACAACTGAACACACACAGCTGTCAATCAATGCTGATCTGCCTGAGGGTGATGGAAGACAGATAAAGAAAGAGAGATGAGGAGGGAGGAAGGGTGTTGTGTTGTGTGCGTGTGTGTGCGTGCCTGTGTGTGTGTGTGTGTGTGTGTGTGGGCAGATGGAGAGGAAGAAATAATGGGCCTACAGGTGGGAGGAGGCAGCTTGAGTACACAGTGCAAGGGAAAGTGAGATGCTTAGATAATAAGAAATAAAAGGAGGCTGGAATGTAGATAAGAGAGGATATTGTAAGGCTCCTCGATGCTCAGTTACGGCACTGAAGTAGAGCCTTCCTGTTTCTCTTATCTCTTTGTTGTTCTCGTGTCCTAATATCCAGATCTAATATTGTGCAATACTCCCTTAAGATCTGGACCCAATTCAGAAAAAGCTTTTCATCTTGTCATCATATTTTCAGTTTTTGACTTTGCACAGAAGTGTACTTGTTCCTTCAATGCATGAAGTAAATGACCAAAATGTTCAATTTCAAAAATATATATGTTATATTTCCAGTATATTAATTGGGTAACTTGGAACTTAAGTCCCCCTATTTAGCATTGATAATCAGTAGCCATTGAAAAAAACGTAAGCAAAACAACTTTAACTCTAAATGATAATATAATAAAACAGTTGTCATAATAATAAAAGAAATATGTACATTATTACTGTACATTAATAAACACTGACAGCTGTGTACAACTACATTATAGTGTGTTATAAACCATGTATTAAAAGTGCTTCTAAATGCTAAATAGGGGGACTTAAGGTAAAGTCTTACTGGAACTTGATATAGAGGATGGCATTTCAGCTGATCTCTGGGATTCGTGTATCTCCAGAACATCTGCTTCCTCCACTTTTTGAATATGTTTGAATGTTTACCCCTTTGTTAATCCAGAGAGGTTCAGTTGCCGCTCAGCTTAAGTCTCACTGAACCATATGATCTGTTTGTGTCATTCCCTGGCTGATTTCTCTAATCTTGTTGTGAAATCGTACACTGTAATATTTCTGGTAACACACCCTGAGGACAAATTAATGAATATCCAAAGTTATATATTTAACCGGTCAGATTTAGATTTTTATTTTTTATTTTTCAAATGTGGACAAATTATCCCTCTAAAGGCTGTTTTATAATGTATAATTTTTTCCACTATTCAGTCTACTGCATAAATAATAACATCGAAAATGAATGTCTATCGCCTCTGCTCTTGAACCTCCTTTTTGTTAATTGGATGAAATCCTTTTCTAATGATAATCACCCTCTGAGTCACACAGGAACAGCGTGGGACTTTCAAAAGGTTAAGAGGTTTCCATTCACTGTCTGTAGAGGGAACTGACGACACAATGCTGATCAGATCTAAAGTAAATGTTTGGCCTGTCTTACCCACTTGCAGAGAACCTGGATGCCATGATAGCCATGCAGACTAAGAACAAGCTGGGCAAGTCTCTCGGGCCTCCTGATTTCACTGGACCCAACGGTAAACAGCCTCACTAGTTATCCTCCAAATATCAGTAAATCTACTAAATGTTACACACTGGACCTTTAATATTTTTTAATTTAATTGACAGGAAATGGTATATCCTTAGGTTTTATTTTAGAAGATTACTTTGAAATTTGTCTCCTCATCCTACTGGCTGGTTAGACAAAACCAGGGAAAACACATAGGTTTTGGGAAGTCAAATTTATTTTATTTTATTTAATAAAAAAAAAATTTGTTTGACATTTTGGAAACGTTTTACTTATTTGCTTTCTGGCAGTGTGTCAGGTGAGTACCACTCTCAGATCTCAAACCAAATATAAGGTTACAGCCAGAAATCAGCTTAGCTTAGCATAATGGCTAAAAACGGGGGGAAACAGTTAGCCTGGCTCTGTCTACAGATAACGAAATCTACAAACCAGCGATTTTAAAGTTCACCAGTAAACACATTATATCTTGTTTGTTTAATTCTTAGAGAAACCTAAATGTAAAAATAATTGAATACTTTTGGGGGGGTTGTAACAGCGCAGTCACCAGGAAGTTACTGCTCCTTGCCAAGAAATAGTCACACAACCCTCTGTAAAACAGCACATTGTAGTTTTTGTACAGATTACACAAAATATAACATGTTACTTAGGCTCCACCAGAAAGCGATGAAGCATGTTTTCCAAAATGTTGAACTACTGCTACACAGTAAGTATATCTACCAACAACTGAACATCAATTTTGAATGCTCTATGTACTGTTTTGTTGCTATAGGAAAAAACTTGGATGAGGATGACAACACCAAGGCTGAGGCAGCTAAAATGCAGAAGGAGTACGAGAACCTGAAAGACTCAACCAAGGAGGAGCAGCCATCAACTGAGACCAGTCAGTCCACTACCCAATCCTGATGACCAAAAGAAACATGAATAGCTTTTTGTTTCGTGATTTGATAATTTGTTAAGATAATTTGATTCAATTTTACCATTTTGATCCCCAGAAATGAACAGTGTGCCTTGTAAATTGCATGAGTCATTTTTGTTTTAGTTTGTTTTGTTTAACTTTTTTTTCCATTATGGTTTTATTGTTTTGTTTTGTGTACAATGTCTCAAATAAATACAGAATTCTCAAATATAGCAAACTGCACCACATCAGTTCAATGAAGCAAAACATCTTCTTCTCTCTACTTCAGTGAAAGGTCTTCAAAAGGAGTTTGAGTGTAATGGCGGAGCCCTTTTCTGACCTTTTGTTTTCACCCAGCAGGGGTGACAGGAAAAAAACAACCCCATGTAGCCTAGGCCAATCATAGCTAAGTCCCTGTTTGTCCCTGAACTAGGCCAGTCCAATAACACTCACTGGAAAGCTTGTCACAGCTGCCGTTATTCTGTTTCCCTGTACACTGTACTGTACCCACTCGTTAGTCTAATCCACACAGATACAAAAAAAAAAACAAAATGAAATATAGAGCAGGATTACAACCAGGACATTTATTTCAGCCGGAAATGAAGTAAATCCTAAGTAATGTCAAATGAACTTTGTATGTTACAGGCTGAACTGAGTTGCATAATATAATATTTTAAAAAAATAAGGGGCATGCGTTATAATCCAGATTTAATCTGTGGTTAAGCAATAGTCTGATCTTGATTAGTGGTTTATGTCCACTAAAAATCTCAAACTGAAAAGAAAAGATTTGTCTTATTGTGCTGCTAGTTTAATATGAAAGTACAATTCTGGCTGCCAGCATGTTCCCATTGCTACTGAAATTTAAAAGATAAAGCATATGCATTGCTTTAGGAAAATGATGTGGTGTAAATAATTGATAAGTCTAAGATAGCACTGCCTTACAGTGTGGTGGAAACTAGGTTCTTCTGAGTGCTAATGAACTACAGACGAAGTAAAGGCAAATTCAGTTATTATCTACTTTATTATACATTGAAGATGGAGGTTGTCATGTCTCCTTTTTTCATTTTCTCCTTCTTTTACCAGATCAACCTGGCAAGTCAGAGACTTATCTGGAGGCCATCAGGAAGAACATTGAGTGGCTGAAGAAACACAGCAAAGAAGAAGGAAAAGATGGTGAGACACACTGCCTTACTAGAAGAGAAACCAGCTAAAAACCAAAGTCTTGTGTGTCTGTCAAATTCCCACTTGTGTAGATACGCTATCATTTCTATTTAAAGAAATTAGTCTAAACTGTTCCCCCTTCTCCAATCTTTGCTGAGTTTGAAGTGCCAAAGCAAGAAAACATCCTAATTTGCAAACCCTTGTCCCCTCACCAAACTGTGATGGGTCACAGACAGGTCTGAGGCGACTGGAAAACACAAAATTTGAAGGCTCTTTTGTTAGCCCTAATTTGCAATTAAAATGAGTGTGGGATACACGGGATAGATGCTTCACTCCAGATCTCATGAATATGGATCATTCTTGATGAGTCTGTCCTAATTACTCTTGATACAGCTTCCTTGTTCATAGGCAAACATCTATTCATATATTCCCTCCTACCTGTTCCTCAACAGTTATGGTGTGTGTGTGTGTGTGGTGTGTGTGTGTGTGTGTGTGTCTCCTAGTGCATAATTAGCAGTACCCTTACAATAACACAAAAAAGCCATGAAATGATCATTACGTCTTTGTCATCAATGTCTGCTCATGTCTCAAGATTTATAGCATTTGTGAGTGTGTATTTATATTTGCTGCCTTATCCATAATGTTGCTGTCAGCATTCATAAATAGGCAGCATGTCACCCAGAAACTACCCCAGTGTGCAGAGCTGTGAAAACTATGGTAGTTTCACACACAACAGTGCACTCATCTAACAGGAGAAGCCTGCTGTTGGGCTCGCCACAGTGTAAAATCAATGCCCAGTGGTGCTTAATTAAGCAGCAGAGAATGAAATGTTAATGAGTTCCCACTATTCAGGCCATCCGTCCACTGGTGAACATCTCAGTAGGACATCTCAGACAAAAAAACAAAAGATGTAGCTCAGTGAGATTTATATTTACAAATGTTCAGTGGCCTGATCTAATCTGAGCCAATCAATAGGTGATTCAGCCACTGGAAAAAGAACTCAAAGACAGAGACATTACAGATAAAAACAGTTTGACCCAGTTTCTTAAGTTGCACTTAAGAAACTGGGTCTTAAGCAACTTAAGCAACTTAAAACACAGAAAAAAGAGAGACACAAAAAAAAGCTGAGCTTATAGCGCTGCAGAGTCCGGAGCACAGGGGCCGAAGCAGCAGGGAAGTTTTGTTCGGTGCTCATCTCGGACCTGGCTCTATATAGGACACTTCATTAGCATTCTAGTGTGTGTGGAGTGGTTGTCTGGGACAACAGGGGCCTCCCCGCCTGCCTGTCACTCAGTGATCTGGGCAAAGGAGACAGACAGATAATGGTGTCAGAACAGACAAGCTCAGACTGAACACACACAGAGTCCAAATGTGCCTCCAAAATCACCAAATTTCCCGTAGTGGGACTCTCTTTAACTAAAATGACACATCATCAGGACCTACTTTTCTAGCACACCTTGTACCGCATTAATCTGCTCTCTAAATTTTCCCCTCATCCTTATTCCCACTATATTTTCCCTCTCTCCTCAGAGAAAGTACAGCTGGAGGGGAACAAAAGCCTTTTCAAGCAAAAGCAGTGTCATAGAAACAGAGTGGGCGACAGGCCATTTATTGTGTTTACTCTACCAGAAGCACCCATTAGGACAATCTCAGCGGACTCGTGTGTGTAAATGTGTGCATGCGTGTGTGTGTGTGTGTGTGTGTGTACGCCCACACACTACACAGATTAGCCAGAGGAGCAGATGGACGTAGAGGCAACATCCTGGTTTTGGCTCTTGTCTCCTCACAGCCAAGATTGAGAGAAGCAGTGTCTCTAATCACATTCTGTTAATCCCTCACACACGTCATGTTTGTCATCGGCAACGCAACTGTATCTTGAAGCAATGCAATGAATTGCTTATGTTAGAAATGTCATTAGGAAGGCGCAGAAGTTGTTGCGTGACTTCTTGGCTGTCCTCTGTCCTTCTGTCCCCGCTTTACTCAGAGTCAGTTGCAGCAGGGAGAAGTGGTGCAGCAGCTGTTTGCTTGCTCTCTGAAACTCATTTGTTACCATGATGGATAATACAGAGTTAGGTTGTGTTCATCTCTAAATATAGCCCCATCCTGCTGCAGCCTTATGGTGTGTGTTAAATGATGTTGACTTGTCTAGAGCAAGGTGAATACATATGGTGATTAAAAAAAATTAATTATTTTTTTTTAAAGGTGTAAAAGCTCTTTTAGAATTTGAGGGGACCTTGTTTTGTTGTGAATTGAATACTAGTAATCATTTTATTGTAAGAAGATGGCAATTATGTTTCACTCTGTGATCTTTGGCCTTCTTATTATTTCATGCTTGTATGTGGTATCTTCTTAACCACAGACATGTTAACGCTGACCTTAATCCTCCTGGATAATGAACTACCGTACCAGATTATGGCTTGTTTGGGTGTGCCGTCTTAATAAGACTTCCTGAGTTTAATGTCTGATCTATCCTGTCAACCACCACAGCCTCATGATCTTCCTCCTTCATGATCTTCATCTCTCAGATTATAAACCCAAATTGTGTTTGTCTTTACAGATTATGACCTGTCCAAGCTAAAGGACTTCATGGACCAGCAAGTCGACTCCTACATTGAGAAAGGCATCATCGCCAAGGACGAAGGCGACACCATCAAGCGGATCTACAGCAGCTTGTAATGCCATCACCCATCCTCCAACCAACCTCTGGCCTAAAAGACAAGACTGAATCTGAAATGAAGATCTCCAACAAAACCCTGACTATTTAACAGTTATTTCCCATGGCATGGTAAAGTATATACTGTGTATTTAAAACTACCTGCTTAGGGGAACTTATTCACACTCCCAGACACCCCCAAAATGTATCAAGAAGGGATTTAATAATCAACTAAACAGTTAAATTATTCTTTACAGCTAAGTAACGATTGATTATATTTGCACGTCAAGATCGCAGAGTAATGATCGCTAGAATATTATTGAGAGAGAAATCAAAGTATTTTATGTAACCAACTCACACGTCCAACTAAATGCTCGCATTTACTCCAACCTGACTCCTGTGGGAAATGAATGTTATGAGAGTATGATGCTGTAGCTTTGTCGTCAACTACTGTTTCCAATATTTGTTTTTGCAACAACATACACATATATCAAATTGTACTCATTCTGTGTAACCTGTCTTAGGCTATTACATTTCTTTTTTCCGGTGTATATGTAAGCTCTTAATGTATCCTTGCTTTTTATTTTACCAAAAATATATTTGTTGTGTATCATGTCAATGCCCTCCGTACTCCTCTGTTCTACTGGAATTCTCCTGGGGCCCACTAGGGGGCCATGTATGTATCATCAATTCTCTCTGCATGTCTCTGTGAGTTTCCATTTCCATCTCTGTAGAGACAGAAGATAAGTATTTTTAAATGTAAATATTTGTGAGTTTTTCCTAAAGTTTAAAAAGCAATTAAAACATTGTCTTTTCTTTATCTGTGTACTTAACTGTGATTTCCAGAGGCACTGGAATAAAAAATTTAAAAAAAACACTAATTACCGACATCCACATGCTCACAAGAAGAGCAAGAACCTGCGTTGTCATTAAAACACTTCAGAGATCTTCATTTCTGGTTTAAATACATATTTATTCTCATATTCCCAAATAAAACCAATATAATTTTAAAGCACAGTAAAACAGATGGAAGGCGGACCTGACTAACATCCTTTTCGTGGCAATAAAAGTGTATCTCTCGGATTGGCTGCTGCGGTATGAAGGTCTTCTCTCTACACGACGCCCTCAATGTATCACGCGTCGGTGGCGTCTGCAGGAATTTGATGACAACTGCCGCATGTCACCTGCACTGTACGCATGAAATTCGACGCACAGTACATGTCTTCTGGCCATGGCACGGAAATCAGGATCTTCTTCGTGCGTCCTTCGGCGTTGGAGGGGTCGTGGCCGTCTGTGTGGTTTGATGGAGAAGCAGGGCAGCGAGTGGCGCAGTGTGCCTGTGGGAGATCAGGCGGCAGCCAATGGAGATCCGGACAGGCGCCCGCTGTTGTGTAAATTACAGCATCCTCGGCTCGAAGGGTGGAGGAAGCCCTGCTGACTGAACTTGGAAAGACAACCCTCCAAAGTTTTTAAGGGGCCCCAGGTATAACGCACAGCATCGACACTGTCACCCGCGTCTCTCTCCACCTTCTTCTCTTTCGTCTCTCTCTCTAGTTACCATAGGATCACATGTCACACCCCACTCTTCTCGCCCAGAGCTACAGCTTTCCCGCACACTCACTATTACCGCGCATTTTGTCTGTAATAAAGGCGATTGGTCTATGTGCCCCAGGACTAACCCCACAGCATACTTGTGCTTTTTGCAACATTCAAGTTAATGCCTTTGTGGTGTGTGTGTGTTTGTGTGTGTGTGTGATTGTGTGTGTGTGTTTCAAAGTGGACAATTGCGGCTCTCCTTACTTGGTGTATGTGGAGTCGTTGCATTAAGAATGAAAACATCCTGGCACTTCTCTGCCTGCAAAGCTTATGTGTTCTGCTTTATTGATCTAAAGCCTTAAGCCACGGACCGCGCGTGAGGTGGCACCCGCCCCCAAACCGCTCCACATCTGGCTGATGCATCCGCTTC